GGTGACTGCCCCAATTCTCATTTCTACCAACAGTGTTGAATTGTTGCCTGTTCTCCACTGCCATGCCAGCACTTTTCACCTGTTGCCTTTTGATCTTAGCCATTCCAAATAACAGAGATAGAATACCATTGTGGTTTTGTTTTTCATATCCCTGGTGGCTAGTAATACTGCACATGTCTTTCATTAGTTTATGGTTCATTTGCATTTCAGTTTTAAAAAAATGTATCCATTTACACCTTTATTCATTTCTCTTTTGTAACATTTGGCAAACTACAATTAAAAACTTTTAAAAAACATTGTAATTTTTTCTGTTGTGTATATAGTTGACAAGGATGCATAGCTGTGAGGACTATTGTTTGGGGTAGGGTTGATTGATTACAGGGAAGGTAGGTGGTAAAATGTTTTCAATATTCCTCTTGTTCCTTTTTGTCCTGTATTTGGGGAAAGGAACATCTGGAAGGAAGGAGTTGCTCCCATCTGCTTTACCAAGTCAGTGCTCAGGGATGGGGGATGTCCACTTGATGTCATCTTAGAAACCGTGATGTGGAGAAGAATGTTCCGAGGGTATTGCTTGAGTAGTTTTGATAGTTCTGAGACACTGTTGGTTTCATTGCTCCAAGGTTGAGAAAATCCTTCCAAGGTCCATTGGCTGACAGTGTCCATCTCAGTGTGTCCACTCACCCTGACACTTGCTGCCAAAGCTCAGTCAGGTGACTTGTCTACTCTGTTGTATTCCTCATCTTCCGTCATGGGACCTGATGTCCTCTGCAGACCCAATGAGCTGGCCATGTTGTCCCCCATATGCTCCTGGGCATGTCATCCACTGCACAGGCATCAGTAATTGAGGAGGCCCAATCCTGAAACATGCATCCCAGGGTCGGATCACAAATTCTATGATCCTCACTGTGGCTGGAGCTTTGAGTTCAGTGGTCTAGTTTGGAAGTCTCCCAAGAAACCTCACCTGGGATGACCCCAGACTTGATTCTTGCACGTGTCAGCCAGAAGAGGGTCCAATTCAGTCTGTCACCTGCATCAGACTGTTTCCCACATGGTGACTGTAGTTGCATGATCAGTTCTGTCCTCAACCCCATATCCTATGCAAACTACAGGTGCTGTGGCTCTCAGCCCAACTCAGCGTGTCATGGACTTGACCCTTACCCAGACCAGTGTGATCTACAAACTCGTTTGGGTGATCCCCTAACAACGCCACCAAGTCTGCCCCAAGCTGATTCCTCAACAGGCACACTCCTGGTATGGATCTTGCAGGCGCAGTGAGTGTTATGAGCCAGTCTGTCATGGTCTGTATCACTTGCGCATTCACTGGCATGTGCTGCAGCCTGACTCTGCCTGGCCTGTCTCTAGTCCCACCCCTAATGGTAACTGGCAAGTGTTACATTCCATCTCAGTCTGACCTGCACACCATCCTGACACTCACCCCTGCACTCAGGTGCCTCAGACTGACCCAGCCTTGTCTACCCCAGACATGACTCACATGTATGCTGATGGGTACTGGAGCCTGGGGACACATTTTGTGAGGGATATGTGGGCCTAACCCTGTAGGACTACAATACTCACTGGTTTACTCAAGAACTAGGGGTGATGATGGAGAGCTGCCCCAGTTTTGGTTCTTATGCTCACCAGCCAGGGCTGAATAGTCACAGGAGAGTTCCCCTATCTCCCTTAGTAGACCAGCTTCCAGTCATGGATGTGATGCACAATGGTGGGCATGTGACAGCCTGACATGGCCGAATTCTATGCTAACCTCTTCCAGATTCACTGTGGCCTTGCCAGATGAGCTCACACCTTGTGATTCTCTTGAATCGGCATTACAGCCCAGCCCTTGAAGCTCATGCCTAGTTCCAGCTTTCATGTGGATCAGAAGGTGCTGTGACATAGTCCAGCCTGAAGCATACAAACTCTGGTTCTTGCAAGAACCAGTGGGTGCTGGTGCCTAGACCAGTCTTGCACATCCCAGACTCAGTTCACACACACCAATGCTGAGGGTTGACTCAGGGATATTTAGCCAGGTTCATCCCCATTCCTGACTCTTATGCTCACCAGTGAGAACTTCAGCCTAGCGTGGGCATTCCTTTAGTTCCCATCCCTGGTCAGCTACCAGCCACAGATGTTACATGTGCTGGAGTTGTTTGAACACAGCTTGGCATTGCCTAATCCTTATCTTGGTCCTTGATAGTGGATGCTGTAGGCTAACCCTTCTACCCTGCCTTCATTTCCGGCTTTCATGCAGACTGGTAGGTGCGATAACCTAGGCTGGTATGGCCTGCACTGCATCCTGACTTCTGCGCATGTCAGTGTGCTATGGTTTGACCTGTCCTTGCCCAGTCTGTCCTCTCTCTCCTGAAAAGCCAACTGACACACTTGCTGACAAGTGGAGCGGCCTTTCCCGTCTTGACCAATACTCTGCTTGTACTCACCAGTAGCTTCTACAGTGCACCAGAGGAGTTTCTTAAGCTCTCCTACCTGGCCCACTCCCAGACCTAGATATCATAGGTGCCAGTGGGCGCTCGTCCTTACTCGAGACAGTCTGACCTCCTGTCTTGTCCTTTGTGTGCTGGTGAATGTTGTGGCAGGGCCTGCTCCACACCCAATTCTTGGGTGCACCTGTGGGTAAGTACTTCAGCCTAGACCAGCCCAGCCTGTTTCCAACCCTGGTACTCATAAGTGTTGTAGGAGGTTGTGGATCATGTGCAGCTCTCCATCATCATCCCCAGTTCTTGAGTAAATTGGTGAGTATTGTAGTCCTACAGGGGTGAGCCCATATATCCTCCCACAGAATGTGTCCCCAGGCCTAGTCCTTTCTCATGTTGGTTAGTGTCATGGCCTGGTATAATGTGACTCATCCATTGTTCTGACACTCCTGGTACTGTGGTCTATGCTTGGCAGACAGGTCCCCAGCCCTAGGTTTCATGCATGTCAGTGGGAGGCTGTCTGTGGCAGTTGATGCTGACAAGTTCAGCTCAGCTCTGCCATGTGGATTGGTGCATTGGTCTGGCTCCAAGGATGCCTCTGATTTCTGTCCTCCAAATTGCTCCATTAACCTCCTCGTTTACCTGCAAGTACAGTGTTCTGGTTGGTGTGAGTTTCCCAGACTTTGTTTCTTACCTGTATTCCCTCAGCAGTCCCCTGTTCCACACATCCTCATAGTTCTTTCCCTGAGTGATCTACAGTTCCTGAGCCCATGTGAGTGGGTTTCCGAGCTTGTCTTCCCAAGCCAAGACTTCAGTGGGGTGGCATGCTGGTCTGGAGCCCTGCTTGCCCAGCTGGGACCCAAGTGCATGCACAGATTCTCAGACCTGGTCCACAGTCATGCCACAGCAGTGTGCTGGTCTGTGAACTGCCCCATCCACCCTTCAGGATGCAGGTATATGCATGTATCCCCTAGCCCACAGCAGCATTTCTGCTCAGGGTCCTTTCCACCCACCTACTTGAGACCCAAGCATGGGCATGAGTTCCAAGGCCTGCCAGTGTGGTACTCTGCCAATGTGGCAGAAGCCTTGTTCATTATCAACTGGTGGGTTTGAATTGTTGATGTCTTTGGATTCGTTATGTTCTTTATTTTCTTTATTATTGGAAATTAATCTTCTTTAGATGCATAAATTGTAAATATTTGCTCCCATTAAGTCTTCTTCTGTACCTTTTGTCATGTCCCTAGGTAAAAAGAATCATCTGGGGATGAGAGTATGCAGAGGTTGGTAGCTTCACACCCAGGAGGTAAATGGTTACAGTCATTCCCAAATCCCACAAGTTTCTGTATTTCTGAGTAGCATTCATACAAACCATAGGCATGCATGAAGTGAAATACATTGCTTTATTTCATGGATTTTGGACATAAATCCAGGGCTCTTGGGATGGTTGGAAGTCAATGGTAAAGGCTAAAGTCTTGCACAGCATCAGTTTCACTGGGGTCAGTGATTGATCTATTTCTGTGCACATAAAAATCCACAGTGTCTGGCACCTACTAAGTGTTCAGAAAGCATTTATTGTTGGATGGGAAAAGTACTTGCCATACTTACTGCTGGTTCAGGAGTCCACCAGGGAGGTTTAGTCCAGGGGTCACAGCCCTGTGGAGAGAGATGGGCTGCCAGTGGTTCAGCTGGTGAGTGGCCAGGGAGCCAGGATGTCCTGAGTTTGGCATGTGATTTGGGGAGGTCCTTAGTAGAGAAGTGAGTGCATTGAACTGGTCCCGGAAGCAGAGAGCTGGGTTCAATGGTTCTGGAGAGAGACTCAGCCAACCTTGACCCACCTTGTTCAGGAGGGTCTGATTGGTATTAGTCCTGGCCTGGTCCCTGTGAGTCACTTCTCTGCTACAGCCTTAGCCAGGCTTACCTCCACAGTGGCAAGGCCCTAATGGAACCATGTGGGACTCAGAATAGCCCAGGTGGGGGCCTAAGTGGCAGGATCCTGCTCAAACTAATGTAATCTGGAGAGCATAGGAGGACTCTAAGAATGATAGGGAATGGAGATGAAGGGTCAGACTGGGAGTTGAAGGTCAGGCTGGGTCCTGAACTCAGATGGAAGCAATGAAGGAAATTGAGATCAGGTGTATTAGGTGCCCCTCAGGGACCAACCACTCCCCTCTGAACCTCAATTCCATGCCTGTGAGGGAGAAATGTTCTGTCTCCAGAGGGTGTGTCAATGTGCTTGAGCAGGAACTGCAGCTGCACCTGCTTTACCTCAGGAGTCCTTGGTGTAATCTCCTTCTCTCTGCCACACAACACAGGGGAAGAAGTGAGCTCCCCTAATGACCCAGGACCTGAGTGTTCTGTGTTCTTTCCTCATAAGACTGAGAGTCAGCCCTTGCAGAAGAGCAGGCGCTGGGGAGACTGCAGAGAGTAAGCAGGAGCTTGGAGGCAGCTTTATTGGGGTTGGGGAGACGGCAAGGGGAGCAGCCAGAGGAGGAAGCAGAAAGCAGAAGAATTCATTTGCCAGCCAGCTTGGCACGGGTGCCTGTTCGTGAGGGACAGTGAAAAAATAAGAAGCTGGACTTCCACTCAGCTAAAAGGCATTTATTTAGTTACTGGCTCCTTCCACATGTTGCTGTGGATCCTATTACAGAGGAGAGTCAGAGAGTGGTCAGTTGACTTCCTGCAGTTTGCGTCTTCTTATGGTTCTCTTTATCCAGGGTAGGAAACTTGAGATTTTGGTGAAGACTTGTGGAGGTCGTCCATCTTTTTTTCCATAGGAGACAATGCCTTGGGCCACATTTTTGCACACGAGAGGTCCTCCTGAGTCCCCCTGTCAATAGAGAGAGAAGGGCTGAACTTCTTCCCAGCATCTGCCCTCCTGCCATCCCAAGGCTGTCCATGGAGGTAACACACTGGCCATGTTTCATCCCAAGGTCCTGTTTGCATATTCATCCCTGGCCTGGGAACCTCTCTCCCTGAGCCATACTAGGCTATTGTTTAAGGACATAGAGGCAGAAGTAAATGAGCTGAGATCCTGTATGGCGTATCAACCAACTCTAACCATGATGGGTAGCAGCTCTGATATAAAAGTTGTATGTTCAGAAGCATTTGTTAATTTATTTTTTTAAAAGGAAATGCTTCTTTTTTAGAAGAACTTTAATTTTCATTTGAAAGGTATGTCTTTACCGAGAAAGAAGGAGAGACAGAGAGAAATGTTCCATCTGCCAGCTTACTACTCCAATTACTGCAATGCTTAGAGTTGAGCTAACCTGAAGCTGGGAGCAAGGAGCCTCCTTCCAGCATGCTACGTGGATTAGGGGCCCAAAGACTCTAGCAATGTTTTGCTGCCTTTCCAGGACAGAAGCAGAGAGCTGGAGTGGAAATAGAGCTGCTGCTCTTAGAATCAGAGCCCACAAGGGACAATGGTGCTTGTAGGCAGAGGATTAGTCTGTTGAGGCACCACACTGGCCCAGATGCATTGTTTTTTAATCTCTGTGATCTGGAGTGGGACAGTGTAGTGGAAAGCCATCTGTCTGTAGGATTCATAGACACCAGGTGCCCTACTATGGTTGATGAGGCTCCAGGTACCCCCAACTTGAGCTGTTCCCCTCTAAATGACCCCAGGAAGATGAGTGAGATCCCTTCATTCCTTGGGTCTCCAGGTGCCTGATCTTCCTAAGCATCCCTCTCCCTCCCAAACAAGGTGACTGTTCTGTGTTACCTTAAAGGAAGATTTTTGTGTATTCGGGTCCCCCACACACATCTCAATGTCTTTCTTGTAATTGGAATAGCGGGACTCGCAAATCTCGTTGTCTTGTACTGTCAATTCCACTTCCTGCAGTGTGTCTGAAGTAATGCCATTTGGTTCTGTTCGACCCCAGCCGGCCACATGGCATGCCTGCCCTGGATTCACTTGGGTCTTGCCGTTGGGTAGGCTGATGCGCTGCACAGCTGCAGTCTTCAAGGCATTACTCTTCAGCTGATGGGGAAGAGTCAATAAACACTAGCTCTATGAGTGACTACTGGGTCTGGACACAATCATGGAGCTGCCTCTTCTTCCCTGTGCTATCAAGCAGTGGAACTGGCCAACTGATCAGGAGGGATGAAGCAAGGGGCAGGTCACAATGGGATGGGCAGCGACTGGAATTAGGAAAACAAGAGCAGCAGGGAGGTGTCTTACCTTCAGTAACATGATGTCATTGGAGTGATTGATGCGGTTGTATTCCGGGTGGGGGATGGCTTTTTTCACGGGGATGACCTGCTGGGTCTTCTCTGGTTTCTTGATGTTGTGGGCCCCCAGGGTGACATTCATACCGCTGTAAAGGGACAGAGTGGGAGAAGGGGGGCTGTGGACTCACAGGAGATGCAGCTCAGGTTCGTGAAGAACAGCTGGCAGCTGGGAGGATGTGAAGAGGGCTGCAACTGAGGGTGGAATCCAGGGCATGAGGAGGCCTGGGGTTGAGTTCTCTGTGTCCTCTGCCTCTCAGCAGTAAAGGTGGAATGCTGTAGCTGTTGGTGATGTGGTGATGTCCAGTGGTTCTCTGGGGTCACTGACCCACAGACAGAGATATGGAACTGCTGATGCCAGAGCATGCTCCTAGCTCTCAGGATGGCAGTGTTGATCACTCTGCCAGCAAGGTGACTGCCATCAACCTGTCTTTTGCCTAAGAGATCTGGTATTCCTATTCTGTTTTACCTTCTCAGGAACCCTCCAACACGTAACAGGCAAAGAGAGCTTATACGGAATTAGAAGCTTTCTCTGGGGGAAGTGTGCTGAATTCCAGTCCTCACCTTCCCTGGCAGTGTGCAGCTGTCAGCACAAAGTTCTCACGGATCAGGAAACCTCCACACCTCTTCCTACGTGAGCCATTCCAGTACCGAATAAAGGCCATGTAGGGACGGGAGTGGGGCTTGGCTGCATGTCCCCCGATGATCTCTCCTGAAAAAAGAAGAGTTGGTCTGCTTATATGCACCCACTGGTGGGGGGCATACATGGTTGAGATGATTTCAGCAATGCTGGGAGCCTGCAGTAGAAGGCAGAGGACTGAAGGGTGAGAACCCTCAATTTCCTTCTCTAAAAGGTGGTCTTGGTTAAGGAAACATTTTTGCACACATCATTTAAGGTAAGAACAGCTGTTCAGGGACAGTGACACCAGAGTCTCCTGACTATTTTTATGTTTCCCATGAGCTTCCAAAACCCTTGGCCTATTCTGGTGATGTTTAGGATGGTGCTGTTTTCACATGGGCAGGAGCAGAAATTAAGGAAGTGGACATAATTCCAGCCAAGTCCTTTTAGGGCTGACATTGACCTTATGAAGGAATGGCTCCTACATGGATGAGGGTTATGAGGGTAAATCTCATGGGGTTCTGGAAATTGTAGAAGTTGTGGTCATCCACATGGGTTTTCATCACGTGGAGAGGAGCCAGCAAAGGACCAGGAAGCAGAGCAGGGCTGGATGGAGGGCTGAAGCTGTGGCATGAGCACAAGCTAGGGAGGGGCTGCCAGGACTCTGGAGTCAGCTTAGCATGGGCTTCTGCTGAGCAGATGGGGCGAGAGCAGCTCTGAAACAGGCTCCCTTTGCCCTCTCCTGAAAAAGTAATATTTTTCCTTTCCATTTCCCATCTTCTGCCATGCGTCTCCAAAACCTCCTGGCTGCCAGTTTCCTGCCCTTGCAAACAATAGCCTTCTGCTCTAGCACTCCTGCCCTCAGTGAACCAGTCTCATTGTTGGGTGTGGGTGGCCCTGGAGCTGGACATCACCATGTTGCCAATAGAAGCTGTGCCATGTGGGGCAGGAGGGGCAGGAGGGACAGGAGGTCTGTGTCTCTGGCGGGTCAGGAATGTGAGGTTGGGGTGGTCACTCACCTGCCTCAGCCCTGAGGGACAGGAAGAGGGTCAGCAGGAGCAGGAGTGGCTGCATCTTCTCAGGAAGGCTGCCCAGCTTGGAGCTGCAGGTGCACTTCCTCCTTACTCTCTCTTAGCTCCTGGGGAGGGGGAGGAGCTAGGTGGGCACAGTGACCTCATGTTTCCTCTGGTTTTGTGGTGCTTCTTTAGCCAAGGTTTCTTTGAAACAGCTACTAAGCCATACCTCACTAAATTAAAACATGTCTACATGAATGTAGATGTTATCTCATTGAATTTCCCTCAGTGTGCATGGGAGTTACCTTAACCATATGTTTTTAATCATACTTGCTATGGTGGTAACACAGTCCACATGGAAGACTGTGGTCCATGTCCCAAGAGGACAGTGCTCTGTAGATCTGAGACAGGGAGCCAGTATTCTGCAACTGGAAAGAACTTCTGTTGGCCTGCTGGATAATACTACATCTGAGAACAGAACTTCGGTGATTCCCTACCTTGAGTGGTTGGTAAGGGGAGCCTGACACTGGGAGACCCTTGTTCACAAAGTCCCACACACTGTATGTGTGGCCTCGCAGTCAAGAGCTGGCGTTTTCTTTGTCAGACCTCTAGCAGAACCTTTCTGTTCACACCACTGCAATTTCTCATCCATATCAGATCTCTGTGCCTGATTGCTGGTAATCACCGTTTTTGATTCATGTATGAGAGAAATCATTTGACGTTTCTATGTCTGGATTCTTTCAGTTAATATACAGTTCCATGCATGTTGCATGTGTCAGAATTTCATTCTTTTTTCATGACTAATATTCCACTGAGTGTATGTGTGTGTATGTGTATGTGTTTGTGTGTATAAATATATATCATGCTGTCTAAATGCAACCTTTTAGTGAGACACTTGTAGAATGATTTCTTGGCTTGAATATTGGGAACAGTGCAGTGTATTGGAGTCCAAGTATCTCTCTGCCATATGTGAATTTCATTTCATTTTGGATACACAGCCAGAAGTAAGATAGGAGGATCATATGGTATTTCAACAATTCATTGAGGAGCCTACATCCTGCTCTGCATGGTGACTGTCCCAATTCTCATTTCTACCAACAGTGTTGAATTGTTGCCTGTTCTCCACTGCCATGCCAGCACTTTTCACCTGTTGCCTTTTGATCTTAGCCATTCCAAATAACAGAGATAGAATACCATTGTGGTTTTGTTTTTCATATCCCTGGTGGCTAGTAATACTGCACATGTCTTTCATTAGTTTATGGTTCATTTGCATTTCAGTTTTAAAAAAATGTATCCATTTACACCTTTATTCATTTCTCTTTTGTAACATTTGGCAAACTACAATTAAAAACTTTTAAAAAACATTGTAATTTTTTCTGTTGTGTATATAGTTGACAAGGATGCATAGCTGTGAGGACTATTGTTTGGGGTAGGGTTGATTGATTACAGGGAAGGTAGGTGGTAAAATGTTTTCAATATTCCTTTTGTTCCTTTTTGTCCTGTATTTGGGGAAAGGAACATCTGGAAGGAAGGAGTTGCTCCCATCTGCCTTACCAAGTCAGTGCTCAGGGAGGGGGCATGGCCACTTGATGTCATCTTAGAAACCGTGATGTGGAGAAGAATGTTCCGAGGGTATTGCTTGAGTAGTTTTGATAGTTCTGAGACACTGTTGGTTTCATTGCTCCAAGGTTGAGAAAATCCTTCCAAGGTCCATTGGCTGACAGTGTCCATCTCAGTGTGTCCACTCACCCTGACACTTGCTGCCAAAGCTCAGTCAGGTGACTTGTCTACTCTGTTGTATTCCTCATCTTCCGTCATGGGACCTGATGTCCTTTGCAGACCCAATGAACTGGCCATGTTGTCCTCCATATGCTCCTGGGCATGTCATCCACTGCACAGGCATCAGTAATTGAGGAGGCCCAATCCTGAAACATGCATCCCAGGGGCGAATCACAAATTCTATGATCCTCACTGTGGCTGGAGCTTTGAGTTCAGTGGTCTAGTTTGGAAGTCTCCCAAGAAACCTCACCTGGGATGACCCAAGACTTGATTCTTGCATGTGTCAGCCAGAAGAGGGTCCAATTCAGTCTGTCACCTGCATCAGACTGTTTCCCACATGGTGACTGTAGTTGCATGATCAGTTCTGTCCTCAACCCCATATCCTATGCAAACTACAGGTGCTGTGGCTCTCAGCCCAACTCAGTGTGTCATGGATCTGACCCTTACCCAGACCAGTGTGATCTACAACCTAGTTCGGGTGATCCCCTCACTACCCCCACCAAGTCTGCCCCAAGCTGATTCCTCAACAGGCACACTCCTGGTATGGATCTTGCAGGCGCAGTGAGTGTTATGAGCCAGTCTGTCATGGTCTGTATCACTTGCGCATTCACTGGCATGTGCTGCAGCCTGACTCTGCCTGGCCTGTCTCTAGTCCCACCCCTAATGGTAACTGGCAAGTGTTACATTCCATCTCAGTCTGACCTGCACACCATCCTGACACTCACCCCTGCACTTAGGTGCCTCAGACTGACCCAGCCTTGTCTACCCCAGACATGACTCACATGTATGCTGATGGGTACTGGAGCCTGGGGACACATTTTGTGTGAGATATGTGGGCCTAACCCTGTAGGACTACAATACTCACTGGTTTACTCAAGAACTAGGGGTGATGATGGAGAGCTGCCCCAGTTTTGGTTCTTATGCTCACCAGCCAGGGCTGCATTGTCATAGGAGAGTTCCCCTATCGCCCTTAGTAGACCAGCTTCCAGTCATGGATGTGATGCACAATGGTGGGCATGTGACAGCCTGACATGGCCGAATTCTATGCTAACCTCTTCCAGATTGCACTGTGGCCTTGCCAGATGAGCTCACACTTTGTGATTCTCTTGAATCGGCATTACAGCCCAGCCCTTGAAGCTCATGCCTAGTTCCAGCTTTCATGTGGATCAGAAGGTGCTGTGACATAGTCCAGCCTGAAGCATACAAACTCTGGTTCTTGCAAGAACCAGTGGGTGCTGGTGCCTAGACCAGTCTTGCACATCCCAGACTCAGTTCACACACACCAATGCTGAGGGTTGACTCAGGGATATTTAGCCAGGTTCATCCCCATTCCTGACTCTTATGCTCACCAGTGGGAACCTCAGCCTAGCGTGGGCATTCCTTTAGTTCCCATCCCTGGTCAGCTACCAGCCACAGATGTTACATGTGCTGGAGTTGTTTGAACACAGCTTGGCATTGCCTAATCCTTATCTTGGTCCTTGATAGTGGATGCTGTAGGCTAACCCTTCTACCCTGCCTTCATTTCCGGCTTTCATGCAGACTGGTAGGTGCGATAACCTAGGCTGGTATGGCCTGCACTGCATCCTGACTTCTGCACATGTCAGTGTGCTATGGTTTGACCTGTCCTTGCCCAGTCTGTCCTCTCTTCCCTGAAAAGCCAACTGACACACTTGCTGACAAGTGGAGCGGCCTTTCCCGTCTTGACCAATACTCTGCTTGTACTCACCAGTAGCTTCTACAGTGCACCAGAGGAGTTTCTTAAGCTCTCTTACCTGGCCCACTCCCAGACCTAGATATCATAGGTGCCAGTGGGTGCTGGTCCTTACCCGAGACAGTCTGACCTCCTGTCTTGTCCTTTGTGTGCTGGTGAATGTTGTGGCAGGGCCTGCTCCACACCCAATTCTTGGGTGCACCTGTGGGTAAGTACTTCAGCCTAGACCAGCCCAGCCTGTTTCCAACCCTGGTACTCATAAGTGTTGTAGGAGGTTGTGGATCATGTGCAGCTCTCCATCATCATCCCCAGTTCTTGAGTAAATTGGTGAGTATTGTAGTCCTACAGGGGTGAGCCCATGTATCCTCCCACAGAATGTGTCCCCAGGCCTAGTTCTTTCTCATGTTGGTTAGTGTCATGGCCTGGTATAATGTGACTCATCCATTGTTCTGACACTCTTGGTACTGTGGTCTATGCTTGGCAGACAGGTCCCCAGCCCTAGGTTTCATGCATGTCAGTGGGAGGTTGTTTGTGGCAGTTGATGCTGACAAGCTCAGCTCAGCTCTGCCATGTGGATTGGTGCATTGGTCTGGCTCCAAGGATGCCTCTGATTTCTGTCCTCCAAATTGCTCCATTAACCTCCTCGTTTACCTGCAAGTACAGTGTTCTGGTTGGTGTGAGTTTCCCAGACTTTGTTTCTTACTTGTATTCCCTCAGCAGTCCGCTGTTCCTCACATCCTCATAGTTCTTTCCCTGAGTGATCTACAGTTCCTGAGCCCATGTGAGTGGGTTTCCGAGCTTGTCTTCCCAAGCCAAGACTTCAGTGGGGTGGCATGCTGGTCTGGAGCCCTGCTTGCTCAGCTGGGACCCAAGTGCATGCACAGATTCTCAGACCTGGTCCATTGTCATGCCACAGCAGTGTGCTGGTCTGTGAACTGCCCCATCCACCTTTCAGGATGCAGGTATATGCATGTATCCCCTAGCCCACAGCAGCATTTCTGCTCAGGGTCCTTTCACCACCCTTCTTGAGACCCAAGCATGGGCATGGGTTCCAAGGCCTGCTCTGCCAGCATGGTACTCTGTCAGTGTGGCAGAAGCCTTGTCCATTATCAACTGGTGGGTTTGAATTGTTGATGTCTTTGGATTCGTTATGTTCTTTATTTTCTTTATTAATGGAAATTAATCTTCTTTAGATGCATAAATTGTAAATATTTGCTCCCATTAAGTCTTCTTCTGTACCTTTTGTCATGTCCCTAGGTAAAAAGAATTATCTGGGGATGAGTGTATGCAGAGGTTGGTAGCTTCACACCCAGGAGGTAAATGGTTACAGTCATTCCCAAATCCCACAAGTTTCTGTATTTCTGAGTAGCATTCATACAAACCATAGGCATGCATGAAGTGAAATACATTGCTTTATTTCATGGATTTTGGACATAAATCCAGGGCTCTTGGGATGGTTGGAAGTCAATGGTAAAGGCTAAAGTCTTGCACAGCATCAGTTTCACTGGGGTCAGTGATTGATCTATTTCTGTGCACATAAAAATCCATAGTGTCTGGCACCTACTACGTATTCAGAAAGCATTTATTGTTGGATGGGAAAAGTACTTGCCATACTTACTGCTGG